ATATATATTAAAATATATAATATTATAATAATATATTATAATATTATAATATAGTATTTTTTATCTTTTATTTAGATTGTATACAGCATTAAACACAGAGGAGATTTAAATAACATTAAAACTGTGGTACCTGTCTGTCTCTCTGTGTCTCTTGTCTGTCTGTCTGCAGCCATCTACCAGCCCTCCACCTTCAGTGAGCCGTCTCCCCCTTTAACGCTCATCATCTTCATCTTCATCACTGAATGAAACCAACTGAACTCTGAATCTGTGTCAAACGGGACAAAAATTCAAACTTAAAGAAGAAGAGATAAAATATATAAAATGAAACAAAACAAATCGAATATTGTTTTTATTTGATTTATTTTAGTTTAGTTTTTTGTTGTTTTTTATATTTTTGTGTCGTCTTAAACTGCAAAACCAAATCAATATAACAAACATATAAACAAACAAATAAAGTAAATTAAATAATTTATTCATCATATTTAGTTTTTATTTTTATCTTATCCAAGTGAAAAAAACAATACCAAACATAAGTATTACTACAAATGAAATAATAATAATAATAATAATTCACAGATGTATAAAACACTGCATATTTATATTATATTTATTTATTTATATTTCTAATAATATTCTAATTAACTGCATAGTTGTAAGCTGATATAAAGACATGTTTTGATTATTAATTTACAGTAAACAATCAATTATTACCATTTATATTTAATGTGAACTATATTGTCATTAATTAACTGTTTATAAACCAGCACGGAGGAGTTAAAGTCTCTAAAGAATACATTAATAAACACTTTATTCTTCATTTCTTGGACCCTATATTGAAGATAAAAGGTACATTGTAATATAAATATAAATAGTAAATGATCTCCAGGTGTTTACAGGACAGATTGGATATAAAAATAATTCATTTAGCCATAAATCATCAGTTCTGATAATCAATAATCATTCTGGGCATTTTTCTTAAAGCAAAAATGTTTCTTAAATGTGAATATTTGCTGTTTTTCTGTCATCAAACTGAATAAATTTAGGTTTTTAAAGTATTAGTCAAACTTGTAAAGAGCATTTTTCACTATTTTATGACATTTTATAGCCCCAACGATCAATAAAGACCACAATCATTACATTAATCTATCAATCTACACTGTAAATGATGGTTAGTTGCAGCTGTGAGTGGTCTCCTCTGGGCCGGACTGTAGTCTGGAGGACCTCCACAGGGGGGCGTCCACTAAATACTGCACTTTATACTGAACATACATCTGATAGCTGAAGTTACTTTAAAGATTTTACACAAAAGATGCAAAAAAATGTACACATTTATTTAAAAAACATTTACTTTTACATTTCAGTATTCTAACCCCGTTATTTAGCATTAATAACCAGTAAATAAATGTTTAATAAAGTGGTTTTAAGCAGCTATACAAAGTCAATAGATCAATATATACTTTATTGATCCTCATGGGGAAATTCAGGCATCCAGTAGCTCAGACTGCGTAAAGAATGTTGATTAAAAGACCAAAACAGACATTATAATGGGGTTAAAAACAGACAAACAATAACAGAATAAATAAATAAGATGAGGAATAAAAGTTTATTAATATATTTGTCAACAAAAGCAGATAATGTGTAATAATATAAGGAAGAGTTATAGATTAATAAACATTAATAAAGTCCTGTCTGCTTATAACAACAGTATAATGTTGTTGATTAAAGGTGTTTACTGTCTCCTCCCCTTCACAACCTGCTGGATATAAATGTTCCTGCTGTCTGTATTTAGACACACAGACAGATCTTAGTCATGTACCGGCTCACTTCCTGCTCCAGGTCAGAGTCACGGGTAAAACTGCTGCTGTTAGACTGCTATCAATCAAACAATCAAAGCTTTATTTGTAAAGCAGATTTCACACAGTGGAAGGTCAAAGATAAGACGGATGATAAGACTGAATGGAGTTAAGATTAAATAATAATTAATTAATAAAAGTTATACTAAAAACTCTTCATTTCTCATTTAAAATCACTATTTTCTTTATCGTTTGTGTTCGTTATTGTATATTTTATTTCTTCTATCTTATATCTATGAATAAATGAGTGTATTTTTATAACTTAACTTTTATATGGATGAAAATGAGTGCTTACTGACTGCGGCTCAATAAAAACTAAATAAGGAAGTAATTAGAAGGATAAAAAGTATTATGAAACAATTTAATTTTATTTGTTTAGCGCCAATTCATAACAGAAGTTATTCTCAGGACACTTCTTCAAATACAGCAGCGTCTTAGACCGGAACTCCTTATAACATATTACAGAGACCCAACAGTACCCACCTGAGCAAGCACTTGGAGACAGGGCAAGGAAAAACTGCCTTAACAGCGTAGAAACCTGCGGACAGAGGAGAGAGAGAAGAGAGAGAGAGAGATGTACAGCAACAACAGTAGGCAACAACTACATTAATAGTAATGATCGATGACCATCAGCTATTGTATGTTTTATGTGTGGTGTGCTGCTTAAACACGATTGATTTATTGGTATTTGATCAGTTACTGCCTATTGCACAATGTGCTTGGTGACGTTAATATTAACTCCTGATAAAACTTGATAGCTCTGTGTTCTCATTGTCCTGCAGTTTACTTTACATGACGTATAAAAACAGGAAACTTCCTTCAACACAATGTAGAGAGAAAGTGCAGCTTCACTGGTTGAAGCCTCGATACTGCAGGAAAAGGTGACTTTAGGGTTAATTAAATAAAAATGTTCCTCCTATAACTTTCAGTTTTAGTCATTTTAAAACAGATTTTACTTGTGTTTTACAGATTTTATGCAGTTTTTAACTGTTGGAGGACGTGCAGAGAATAAAAGATGGCGGTGCGAGTGGCTTCAGTTGATTATACAATACGCTCTCTGCTCCAAGCATGCTGCAGCAGGCGTGTGAAGCCACGTTTACGCCTCTTGTCTTTTGGCCTAATGCAGCTCTGACATGTTTTGCATAATTAAATAATAATATACAGTACATCCTACGAGTCAGGGCCAGATTTTAGAGAGCGAGGGGGGACAATAGGTTGCAGTGCGGACTCTACGGGCTTTATGGGGTGCGACCTCTACCAGGTGAGTTACCCTACGCCACCAACAGAGAGCTTCAGTCCTGCCCTCCTGTCTCATGGCGACACACACACACACACACAGACACGCTGACCTGGAACTGTCCAAGATGTCTGCAATATTGCGAGTTTCAATACATAAATATAGATGAGATCCCTTTTCTTCAAAACGAACCACGCCTACTTTTGATTGAGAACAAATGTGGCAACATTTCCCGCATTTTGCACATCAGGTGATTTCAAAAACTGCAGATTGGGATTTTCTTCACTTCCCCAAAGAGCGAAGGGCAATAAAAGAAGAGATCTGTGACTTCAGGCCTCCTGTGGAGAAGGATACAGATGATGTTATGTTGTTAATGATGTTCCTGAGTTAATGTGAGCAGATTGTGTCTGTAGGTAGATTGAAGAGAATCAGAAAAGTCTCAGTGACGATGTAAATAAAGTTTTTACTTTACTTTAAGATCCTACCTTAAAACAGCAGTTTTTTGAATGGAGTTTGGTTTGACACTGTGGATCAGAGGGTATTTTAACCTTAATAAGTCACATAAACTGAGCTGACCTTCCTTCTAATAATGAACCTTATAAACAGCAGAAGGTAACGTAGGAAGTGGAGATAAAACCAACATGTTTTCTGCTTCTGTCGGCTCGTAGCAACAGTGATGTAATTAATTTACAGTAACGTCACATTGGACAGACGATCAAAACAGAAAAATAAAGAGTCTGAACGACAGAAAAAGTATTTGTATTTGGGGGATTTGTCCACTTTGATGGAGGCAGACTCCAGTCACATTAGAGGCTTTCACCCAAAAGCTGGCGGGTCGGGGGATTGAAGTAAGGCCAAAGTACCCGGATGAGCTGCTGAAGGGGATGTACTATTTTTAATTTGACCCTTTTAGAGATGAAGGTAGGTGTTATTGTTTAACACACAGCTGGCTGCGGGTGCACATTAGCCAAAACTGTGCAGCACTCTACTAGTAACAGTATTGCTTTACTAATAGAAAGCAAGCAGCCTAAGGTAGTAGTTAATGTACATAATTCTCATTACAGTTGTGATTAAAATAATGATGCATTAGTGACCTTTTATTACTGTTTTCATTGAGCTTGTGCAAGTTATTACTTCTGCACACTGGGCTCCATAAACAGGGTGGAAAATGCCTAAATACTGACTGAATGGAAAGCTGCGACACATGCGCCACGACTGCATAAGTGACCCAGTAAAGAAAACACACCAACGGGGTTTTGGGGATGACGGGGCGGCTGATCTAGAGGGATATCCTGAGTGAGTAACCAAAGAGGAGGAGCTGGACGAGGCAGAGGGAGCAGGAGCCAGCACAGGAAAGGCAGATAT